GTTAATATTTACTTGTTTTACTTTATTTGAAAAGAAGTATTCCATGAGTTCTTAGTCATTTATAAACTAAGTATTATTTCCTACACATTGATGTACAACATGTTTGATATTTCTCTTTGATAATAGCAAATTGTAAGGACATAGCACTTTTTCCTTGTATGTATATTTGCATACCATAACAAAAGTACATTTTTAATGTTTCAATAACGGCAATTTTTGATTGCTAAATGTGCATTTATAGTTATACTACTATTCTTTATTAAAATCTCAATTTCGTTTAAAAGTTGTCACGTTTGCGTACTAAAGCTGGACAAACACGTTGGATTTGTGTGTGCGATTTGTTGAATGTCATTTCTCCACAGAAGTCGAACATACGAAATTAAAATTAAATTAATAAATACCAGAGACTGAAAATATCGGGTCCACTTTGTTTTTATAAGGTTAATTGCTGTGATCACTATTTATAAATGTGTTTTTGCAGTTTATCACTGAGAGAAACCTTTATGTTAGATTTTTTTGATAAGTGTTTGAGAGAAACCGAAAAGAAAAACAAAATAACTCGCTACAATTGATTTTTATTTTGTAAACATTTTTGAAAAGGTCTGCTTATGATTTTTATTTTTAAAAGCAAAACAATAAATCGCAAATGTAAATACACGATTAGGACACACATACACACATACTATCTTCAGAAATCATAGCAAACAACAACAATATACTCTCCCACTCTCATATAAGCAAGAGAAAAAAGGAATACAAAAACCAAGTGCTCAGCCAAAAACATAAGTAACAAAACAAAAGTAGTAAAGGTTATACTAAACCATTTATCAATTACCAAAAATTTCAATTTTCGGAAAAAAGTGAATTTTATCCAAGTTATAGTGTACAAAAGATTTTATTATAAAGTAATTCCATTCAAACAGGTAACATTTTTATATTTTTTTTTTAATATCATTAAACCAAATACATATTGAAATTATCTGTATACTTATTATTGTGACGTAAATTTTACACCTATTTAACTTCACCTTAAATGAGAACTCAAATAACTAAAATAACCCAGAAAAAAGTAGTTAATAGTTATCATAATTGTTTTTAATAAATAAATGTGTTACTTTTTTTGGTTTTTGTAAAAATAATATAATTTTTTAAATAAAACCAATTGTCAGTATTTCTGTATACTTAATTTTGTGACTAACTGTAGGTGTACCAATCAAAATTTGTTTTCAAAAATAAAGTTTTTTGAAGTTTAATTTTCTCTTATTCATTATGTGTAGCGTTGCCACAATCAAAAAAAAAATATATATATATATATTTTAATTTACAAGAAATTATTTATGACAAATGTGTAATTTATAATTTTGTTAAATAAAGAATAACATAAACATTAAAATGCATTAAAAGCTGCACATAGGATGATCAGAAATAAAAATGTATATTGTTAAAAGCAATTGATTTTATTAAGTTAGTACAAAATTATAATAACAACATAAAGACAGTGAGATTTTTTTTAAAGTTTTTATTAATATACATAACCTTTTGGCTTTAATCCATTATATTTTTGCTATAACCAAGTCAATAGTCTTGTCTATAGACCAAATGTGGACGCTAGACTGGATTATATACCAGTCTGGACTATAGACTAGACTTTAGATAAATCTATGTGCCTCCGGTAGGTACTAATCTGTCAGACTGGAGGTCGTAGATTCGATTCCCACCTGAGGCACTGGTATTAGTATTAAAAACACTATAAGCAAGTCATTGAAATTCGATCACAAATATATAAACCAATAACGCGGACAACGTTTCGTAGTGTTTAGACAAAAGAACAGCAGGAGCCATTGGAATAGCCGACCTGTAGCACGGCAGCAACTGACCGCGAACTCACAATAGCAGGTTAACTTCATTCCAGAAATACGGTCAGAATAGAACGCATCCAGACTTTTATTCTCATTATCACCTGCTTCAACAATGTCATATATTTAATACAGAGGTCAAGCATATTTTTCACACTCAAAGATTCTCTCGGCTTCAACACAGACTGCATGTCAAGAAATCTTTTACAAGGTCTGTTCTTCCTGGATTCAGATAAAATTTCATTCAAAGCAGCATCAACGATCTCTAACCTCTAATCATTGTCCACTACCTAACAATTCATACTACACAGCATTCTCACCATGTAACTCTCAATCAGTGAATATATTATATATTCACTATTTATTTATTTTATTTATTTATTTACGAAAAACCAACCGAGCCCATAGGGCCATATATATTTGGTAGACTAGCATATGTTAAAATAGGCAACTTAAATCAATATTACAGATAATTTCATTAATACATAAGAGGCTGACTACAAAAATGAATTGCTTATGTGTACATACATATGTGTGTGTAAATAACTTCATATATGATAATATCTTTAGCGCTGTATAATTTTAAAAATTCATTGCAAAAAAGTAATAAATACATTAAATCACATTAGTGGATGCATATTCAAAAAGCTGCGTTTTAAATGTTGTAAATCGTAAATCAAAACATCTAAGAACTCGAGGAAGAGAGTTCCAATGTTTAGAAACTCGCACATGAAAAGATCTTTCGTAAGTGGTTCGATTTATTATAGGAATTAAAATTTGAGGATTTCTGTCAGAATGCAAAAATTTAAAAGTATTTCTAACATATTCAGGGCAATTAGCTATTACTACCTTACAAAAGAACAATAACAAACGGATTTGAACAAAATTCATAAAAGAGCAACCCAAGAAATCTCTAACATAGTCAGACACATGATCATGCATTTTTAATTGATAGACATAACGTATTATTCTGTTAAAAAGTAGTAAACACTTATTAAACTCCTGAGCATTACATCCAGAATAAACTTCAATACAATATAATATAATATTTTATTGTATTGTTTAAATATTTTCCAATTGAATTAAAATTATTATTAATGAATATGGTAGCACAATTTTAACGAAAACTTCAAAATCCTTAAGCATGTCACATGGAGAATTTGAAAAAATAAAGAGAGAATGACACTATCTTCTTTATTTCTACCATAGCAGAAATATATTTTTGCTATGATTTCTACCATAGTAGAAAGAATAAAGGTATAGCCGTTCTCTCTTTTTGTAGCCATATTAAACTTCTGACGTTTGGGCGAATTATTATTTTATTGCTTAAAACCGTGCTACCATATCTACCTTAAAAACCTATGTTTTTTGTTTACTTTTATATTTCTTTTTCAAATGTCTGTAAAATATATTTTTTCAAACATAAATTAAAAAATATTATAAATAAAACAAATAATCCGTGAGATTACAAAATATAAATCAAATAATACTATCTACCAAAGTCTGTTGCTTCCAAATTTGTGTGTCGGGAGATGCTGGCCAGTCTCACTGGCCAGCATTATATGGGAGTTTCAACATACCATCAAAGAAGAAAGTTGCTGACGTCTTTGTTCTAAAGAATATAATTTTGTTTAATAAATAGCGAAAATGTTCTGATCAATCTTATATCGTACTAATCTAGCAGCGCTCACGATATTTGATAGTTTTACTTCTTCAGGACCATCGTATATATTGTGTGTGTGTATGTCCGGTAGGCCATTTATTAACACTGTAAAGTCTAATAATATCCCTTTTAATCCAGTGGCATACTACGTTTTACAAAAAGGAAAATATCCTTATTTTGACCTGACTTTAAAACGGAATATGCCAGTGGATTCTATTTTCGATTTTCATTGCACACAGGCGACAAGATCTAGGAATACCAGTAAATCAACCAGTACCTTTTAGCAATTCGGAAGCACGTTCTGAAGTCCCTTAAAAACCAAATAAAAAAATTAGGTGGCGTGTCATAATGTCCATGGACGATATGACACACTAAATTAAGTCATAGTGTCCATGGACGTTGACAATTTTAAAAGTGTCACAATGTCTACGAGCAAAAGGACATAAAAAAGTACATTTATCAAAAATGTCTTAATATAGCGAAGCCGGTATTCGAAATACCCTAGAATTTAAAACCTCCTATGGTTAATCACCTTCATTCGTTCTTTGTAAAGTGTTAGTTTATATAAAAAGTCTGGACTACAGTCAAGACTATAGTATATTCTATATTCTGGGCAGTAGTCTAGTCTATAATCTGGACTATAGTATAGCCTATAATCTGGACTATAGACTAGTCAATATTCTGAACTATAGAGTGTTCAATAGCGTGGACTATATCAACGCAGCGATTGTGTATCACTTTTTTTACGTTGCGTAGCTGTCAGTCGCAGTTCGTCGAAAAGTATTGTATGTGTATAAGCATGTCAGATAGTTATTTTTAAAAATAAAAAGAATGACACTATCTTTTCTTTTTCTGCTATGTTTGCTACTATGTATATTAGGGATATAACTAATTTGGCGAAATTTTTGGCATACCACCACATGATTGCCAATGTTGTACAAGTAATGAATATAATTTTTTTTGGTCAATTGGAATCAAAAACATCACGCACCAACCCTAATTTCTAATGTAAACCAAATTTTTTTTAAATGTTTATTTTTTATTATTTTCAAATTTTAATATTTATATACGGTCATTTTTTACCGAAATCTCTGGACTTTTGGCTTTTTAAGCAAATATACTATTTTACATCCCTAAATCAAAAAGTCTATAATATATATTTGTTGATCATATTTGTTCTGACCATATCTCCGATTCTTATGGACCGATTTTATGGGGCCTTCAAAAAATTAATTTAAAAAAACAGACGGACAGACATTTGATGCGTATACTTATTTAACAACCGTGAAAAAAAATATCGTAGTTTCTCACATTTTTTAATGGACTATTCGACTATGCTGTGCCAACTTGCATATATGCAACGAATGTCAATAGTTATATCCCTAATGTATATGTTTATATTCTTTGTTTTTAAACATGAAAAATGTATGGAAAAACGTGTCGAATTTTGAAAGAATAAGTATACTTACATATTTTTTTAGCCCAAAGAGGATGATCCAATATCGACATTTATTTGTACAAATTGTTGGCTCAAACTATATGATTTTCACGAATTTTATAAGATGGTAGACAAAGCTCACAGACTATGGAAAAACGGAGAGAATACTAATTGTGATTATTCTACAAATAAACTTAAGGAATATTGTTCTTTACCTTATAAAAGTGAAACTTACGAGAATACTTACGAAATGGGTGAATTACCATTTCTCATTCCACAAAAGGATAATGAAGAGAGAAATGCAACAACAGATCGAGATATCCTTTCCGATAATATTATTTGCAATGAGATCGGGCAGAAAACAAATTTGTCTTATAGCGAAATTATGGTTGAAAGCAATGATGGAAATAAAAGAGAAGCGAATACGAAAATTAATGAATCAAAGTTATCAAATGAAAATAAGATTTCACAAAAATCGTGTAGGCGTCAAAATAAAATATCCAAATCAGTCAAAAATGTGATTGTAAACAACATTAAAACTCCTTCAGAAAAGAGGAGAGGTCGCCCAAAAAAAGAGAAAGGCATAATTAAGACAAAAAAGAGTGCAAGCGACCAAGAAGCATATAAAGCTAAAATAATAGAGTATGACGCTGAAATTGCAAAGTACATGTCATTATACTGTGATATTTGTAATAACAAGTCAGATAATTTTCCTGCTTTAAGAATTCACATGCGTGAAAGTCATAATATTAAGGAGGGATATGTGAATTGCTGTGACAAAAAGTTTAATAAAAGAGCCCTACTTTTGTATCACATACGACAACATCTAAATCCCAGTTATTATAGGTAAGTTTTTTACGAATACATATTAAAAAGTCTGGTTTTTGCGAAAACTTTATTTCGAACTGCAGTTATTTTAAATATCGGATTATTATACTTATACTATAGTTCCTATAACTTATACTATAATTCCTATAATGTTTGTTAAATAAGGCGGGCAAATAAATAATATTTTGATAACATTAAACAAGAATTTCCAAATATTGCACAAAATTGGTTGAAATAATAGTATGTACTATGTTTTTATTACAATAATTTTCTTAAATTAATATGTATACATATTTCAAATTGTAGATTGCGTTTAAAAGCGTGATAACCAGGGAAACTTAATATGCAATTAGTTTCTTCTAGACATACATGCTCAAAAAATATTTTCTGCAATCTTTTTGAAATGGGTCTCAAAAATTCCATAATTTTGAGCTTATGACGGGAAAAATAATTAAAACTTTTGTTAGACTATTCCTGGTCCGCAAAACGACTTTTAGTGTATTATAAGGGGTATATAAATTTCAAAATAATCTAAACAATTCTAGAATAAACCAAACCAAATCCCAAACTATTTTTTTAATAATTCTCTGTTTAAACTAAAAATTACGACAATTTTGACACCTATTTCGATGATTCGAAAACGATGTTTCATTGGTTTACGCTATTTAATATTTTGAGGACTATTATAACAAATATGGAAAAATATATAAAATAATATTAATAATGAAAAATATTTCTAACCAGTGTGCTTCGCTACCCTCATCTTAATAAAATTAAATAAAAATTATTGTAAATTTTCAGTCAGTCCACAATATACATTTAGGTATATCTGCAATATTAAAAAGTCCCCTTTCATAGATTTTCATACAGGTTCCTAGGTTCAATCTATATATATAAAATTCTAACGTTACTGACTCACTGACTGACTGATTCATTATCGCAAGGTTGTATTTCATAAATTTTCAATCAATAATGATTGATTTTAGTCTCAATATTACAGGAAATTCAAAAAATATCAGTTGGAGAACGAAAATGTAAGAGAAAGTCCCTTTTTATAGATTTTAGTTAAATAAGGATGGAGCAGGTTACATTTTCAACCATAAATTCCTCTCATACAGATATTTATACATTCAAGAAGCTGTGTGTCCAATTCATGTTTTTAGTTTCAATAATATAGAAAATTTAAAAAGTAATACTAAAAGAACAAAAAGTACCAGAAAGCCTCTTTTTTTACATTTTTGTTCAATGTTTATATATTCAATATTTTACAAATATCAAAAAGTATCAGTTGAAGTACGAAAACATACCAAAATACATCTTTTATTTATTTTTGTGTTTCTAAGTTCAATAGTTTCAATGTTTCTAGGTTCAATATTATAGAAAATTCAAAAAGTACCTTTTGAAGAACGAAAATGTACCAAAACGTCCCTTTTTATTGGTTCTCATTTACTCCAGGCTCTACATGCTTAATTTCATGTGTCTACGTTCAATATTATAGAAAACTCCAAAAGTACCGAAAAAGTCCCCTTTTATAGGTTCTCATTTTCTCCGGTCTCCACATGCTTAATTGTTTGTTTAATATTATAGAAAACTCAAAAAGTACCAGTTAAGGAACGAAATAGTACCAAAAAGACCCCTTTTAAGGATTCTCATATACTCCGTTCTCTACATGTTTAATTTGATGTTTCTAGGTTCAATATTACAGGAAATTCAAAAAGTACCTTTTGAGGAACTAAAAAGTACCAAAAAGTACGCTTTTATACTTTCTCACTTACTTGGGGCTCTACATGCTTCATTTCATCTTTCTAGGTACAATAGTATAGAAAATTCAAAAAGTAAGTACCTTTTGAAGAACGAAAAGTACCAAAAAGTCCCATTTTTTCGATTCTCATTTACTCTGGCCTCTACATTCTTAATTTCATGTTTCTAGGTTCAATATTATAGAAAATTCAGAAAGTACCTTTTGAAGAACGAAAAAGTACCAAAAAGTTCCCTTTTATTGGTTCTCACTTACTCGAGGCAGTACATGTTTAATTTCACGTTTCTAAGGTGTGTTTCAGAATTATAAGAACACTTTTTATTATAATATTTTTCATAAAAATGTTTAATAAATCTTATAAATTATTTTGGAAACATCATCTGATCTGATCATCTTTGAAAGTGCTTTTCATCGATGTGCAATTTGTCTCCATTTCTTTGGTAATTTCTAATATTTTTCAAATAACAAGTTTGCCTTTGTTTCAAAATTATAAAAACATTTCATTATTTTTTAAAAATTATACACAATTTAAAAAAGATATTTGCTAATTCGGACTCCCTTATATTTAAGAAGATTTAGTATTCCAGAATTCACACTTTTTACTAAAGTTTTTATTATATTTTGATCAATATTTGATGATTCCTGAGAAATTCCATTTTTTCGTAAATTAAGGTTTTCGTAGAGTTGATTTCCCAAGTAAACTAGATTGGGTTGTATGCCCCAAAGATTTTCCATGGACTTTACATCTAGTTAGCACTGCTGACCACTCTGAAGCAGGTGTATTTTTGGTGTTAAACCAGTTTTTGAAAAATCTAATGTTGGGTTTAAAAGCATTTTCTTGCTGAAAATTTAGTTTTTTGTTGGACTTTGTGCCATGAAAAGCACAAAATTAATTTCTAGAGTTCTGGCGTAGGACGTGCTGTTAATTTTACATGAAAGAAATTGGAATTGAAGGCAGACGTCGGAGCAAAAAGCTGCACTAATCATCAGCAACCCATCACTAACATTTCTCTTGGAAAAGTGTAGGGAATCCTTGCTCATAGCTCTCCAATATCTGGAATCCACTTCCTTCCTTCGATAATATAAACTAATGTAGAATTTATAGTTATTTTCCCATTTACAAAAAAAAAAAAAATAGATAGTCATACTTAGATGTAATTTGCTTGCATGTTTTCTTTCGCGAACTGGAGCGTTGCAGTAACATAAGTAACCGCTTACTTATGTTACTGCAAAGCTCCAGTTCGCGAAAGAAAACATGCAAGCAAACTTGCTTCATTTTTAAATATTTTTAATTAAGATCTGAAATTGTCCTCCACACTGTTGTTTTAGTCACTGAAACGCCAATGTGAGCTTTTATATTTCTTAAACTCAAAGTTGAATTGTTCTTTTTACGAATAATATGGGGTATTTCCCGCTGGGAAAGTGTTTTCTGTCGTGCTGATCACTTGGTTTGTGCTGAATTATCACGATAAATAAAAAATTAACAACTTTCCCAATCCTATCCAATTTCTGAGCAATTTGCCTAAATTTTAAAAGTTGGTCTTTTTACCTTTTGTAGGGTCAGAATGAACAAAATCTACATGGCATATCAAAGACACAATTTTTTTCTTTATTTTAGGACCAATATTTATGGCGTACTAAGTTGCATAATGGGTTTTTACTGATTTGGTTTTATGATTATGAAATATTAAAATAACGGAAAACTTCCAGAAATGCAAGAACAATAATTTCAAATTTATTTTTTTGTATATAAATAGTAAATGCAAAAATGTATTATTTGTAAATTTTTTTGTAGATCCGTTCGATACTTGAAGAGAAATTCGAAAAATATGTTTGTTCTTATAATTTTGAAACACACCTTAGGTTTAATATTACAGAAAATTCAAAAATTACCCTTTAAAGAACGAAAAAGTACCAAAAAGTCCCCTTTTATTGGTTCTCATTAACTCTGGACTCCACAAGCTTAATATCATGTCTCTAGGATCACATTATAAAAAACACAAAAAGTACCAGTTAAAAAACGAAAAAGTACCAAAAAATAGTCTTTTGTACCGGAGTTCCAAGTAACGCTCCATTGGTATATTTAGTGTTACTAAATCTATCAATTTCTCCAAATTTATTAAAATTGGGTCACTGAGTTTGAATAAAATCAAATTTTCCGTTCTTCCCCCTTTTGGTATTTTTTTCTCCCTATTGAAGTAATAAACATTTTATTACAAAAAGTTGCAATATCGTTGTGGGAGCCCATCATTAAGTATTCATTCACATGTACAAATCAATACATAGGAAACAATGTTTTATGAAAAAAGTACCAACGTAGCTACAATTTTCACCCCTTAAAAGTCCGAATATCCAAAAAGTACAAAATTCATATTTTTATTTTTTCGTCAAGTTATAAAGTAGTCAAAAATATTGTTTGAATGTTCACTGGTTTAAAAGATACATGGGGTGTCAAAAAAGTAACAAAATACAGTTTTTACCCGTTTATTCCCTAAAGGGACCAATTTTGAAAAAAGTACCAGACACCTGTGCGCTTATTTTTTAAATGAACGACAATTAGCTTTAAACTGTTTTTGTATCTTTTTTAGTTTAGGAGATATGAGGTTACCTAATTTACCCGTTTTTACCTCCTAAACATTCGAATTTCCAAAATCCCGTCTTAGTGGATCTATTTAGCGGGAGACCAACCTCCTGTCCAAATTTCAGCTCTTTAGCTTCTACAGTTTAGGCTGTGAGATGATGAATCAGTCAGTCAGTTTTGATTAAATTAACAATCTGAATTAATTATTGAAGTTTCAAAGCAATTTTTAACTGCGGAATAGGTTGAATTTAGGAAGGCACTTAGAATGAGTTGTATTAGCACTGTTATTAAAGAAGTCATGAAACTTACATTCACTTTACACTACTGCAAATTTTTTTTGCTGGGATTGTTTATTCTTTGGTCTCAACCAACAAAAATACAATGTCAAAAATAAAAAATATTTTTTTGTTTGTAAAAAATAGGTTCTTTTTCAACGATGTTTCGTTGGTTCAAGCTACTTGTATGTATTTTTCGAAAATATTTTTAAGGAAAATATTATAATAAATGTGGACATATGTATGTATGTCGAGGGACTATATTCAATATTCGCTATCTGTCATTTTTTGAAAATAAGATTTTGATGGCAAAATATTTAGCAAACTATCCCGCATCAGTGATATACATTTTAAAGAAAAAAAAAATATTTTTTTTGGCAATGTTATAGCAATTTTTAAATTCTCTATCTGAAAAAAGAAAAATTCTAAATGCAAAACTCTATCCAATCCAAAAATTGCTTCAGACTCTATTATTTTGGATAATTTTCTGTTACAAAACAAGTGATTTTACTTATTTGGACATGCTGAACACAAATCCGCCAAAATGTTTAAAATCGGTTTAATAGTTTTCGAGATATCGCTCACCACCAGATATCGCTCACCGCCAAAACCTTATAATCTGTTGCTTTTTCAACAATTTGGTTTCTATTACTTCATTAAATTGCATAAAATATAATATTGATTGATATTAAATCAAATAAAAAATGTATATTTCTATGAAAAACTTTGTATCTGGCTGTATACAAATTGCATAATATTTTAGCCGCAAATTAATTATTGTAATTGGAATATAATCTTAAGATTGATAAAATTTTATCAATCAGTTATTCCAATAAATTTTACAAATGCAATTTGTTAATTAATTAGGACAATCAAAAAAGTTTAACCAAAGATGCGTTAGAAAATATATATTGTTCCTTATACTCCAGTATGAATTTGGACGAGCTGTATTATTATTTACTTCAAAATTTCCCAGCAAAAAATAATTGATGTCATACTTTACAAACTACATCTTAATCACATCTTAAAATGCGATTACATTTTTTTCACTTTTATAAACCAAAGAGTAGTGAAATTTACATAAGCGTCTCATTAAGAGAATGTGTTTTATTTTTGACATCCAAATATCGGATTTTTATTGCTTCTAAAAATAAGATTAGGTGTAGTTCATAGTTGCCAAAAGTGAACAGCATCCCTCCAATGACACGCTCATGTAAAAAAGTATTCGGTTTTTAAAAAGTAAATAAACCGGGTTATTCGATATTCGAAAAATCAACATTTAGAAAAACCGACACTGGTAAAGCAGAAAAAACCGGTTGAAAATCCAAGTCGATCAAATACTATCCAGCAAAAAAGTGTAGAATTTTCATCACAACCCAGCAAAAAAAGACGTGCAAAAAAAGTAGTAAATGCATGGGTTGAACTGCTAATGAACTGGTTCATATTTAGGGGAAACATGCATGATTTTAACATTAGCGTGTCATTGGCATTTAAATGAGTTCTTATAACCAATGAATATTCGATGATTCCCAAGCGAATTTTCATTGATGCACTATATTTATTTAAAAATGCATTTCGATGGTATTTCGATTTAATTATCAGTATTTAAATAATTTTTTTGCGTGATATTGATAAAAATAAAATAAGATAAAACATAGCTAACTGATTTTTATTGAATTTAAATTCATACATAATTCAGGTGAAAAACCTATGAATGTTACATTAGTGTGTCATTGGAGGGATGTTGTTCATTTTTGACACCTTTGAACTACATCTAATCTTATTTTTAGAAGCAGTAAAAATCCGTTATTTGTATGTCAAAAATAAACCACATTCTTTCAATGAAACGCTTATGTAAATTTAATTGGTTTTTCATCAAAATCTGAATTACTTCGAATATGTTGTTTGTAGTGACTTTTCTACATCTCTTTCCCCATTTTTAACTGTGTTTTCATTTGTTATGATATGTTTGGTTTATAAAAGCGAAAAGTATGCAATCGCATTTTTAGATGTGATTAAGATGTCGTTTGTAAAGTATGGCATCAATTATTTTTTGCTGGGTAGCTTTGTGTTTAGCATGTTCATCGTGTTAATATACAAAAGAAATTTTAAATTAAATATAATTTAAATGTGCAAAAATTACTTTTTTTGAAATTTATACCAGACGTGTATCATGCATTGAGGAATACTTTGGCATCAAAAACTCGATATGCCCAAAATTGAGTTCGCATTTTTTGAATATAGGGTGACGATATGTAGTATTTTCATCACAGCTAGTAACACGAAGTTCTTCAAATTCAGATGAAAAACCTATGAATTTTACATTTTACATTTTTTACTACTTTATATAAAAATATAAATATTTTCCCTACTTTGATAGCTCACTACGGAGACTACAGTTTATATACATAAGAATTAAAATCTAAACATTTTATTTTTAAAATCTAAACATTTTATTTTTATAGCTTTTTTAAGTTATACACCCAATATCAACAACATAATTTATAAGTTATGTATGACAGTCATGTAGTAAATACGCGGTGATTTATATAATGAGTAAACTAAATTTACATGTATTTTTTTTACTTTTTAATTTTTATTTAGATGCGAAGAATGTGATTTCACATTTTCCGATCGCCAATCTAAGCATAATCATTTCTTGGTTAAACATCAAAGAGATGAAGATAAAATTTACGCATGTTCTCAGTGCTCAAAAAAGTTTGTAAGGAAATATCTTCTGGAGCAGCACAAATCATTTTCTCATCGAGATTTTATACCAAAGTGCAAAAATTGTGGTAAAAGGTATTTTTGTATTTATGAAAAAATTTTTAAATTCTTTGTAACACGACTTATTTTAGATTTAAAGCTGTAGAGGAATTAACGGAACATCATAATAAGGAAGACTGTAATCCTGGTACAATGTGTGATGTTTGTGCAAAATATATTCGGGGCTCAGCTGCTTTTAAACGGCACCAGTTAGAGCATCAGGGTGTTTCAATACCAAAAGTGCAATGTGATTTATGTGGCTTGTGGTATAAAGATAAAAGAGGATTAAAGAGGCACAAAATAAAACATATAGAAGCAAAGCAACCTCATGTTTGTGACATATGTCAAAAAATATCTCCAAGTCGTAGTGCGATGCTAAGTCACAAACGTTATGCTCACGGAACCGACCGAACACATGAATGTAATGTATGCCAAAAGACATTTAAGAAGCCAATATCACTGAGAGAGCACATGACCACACATACTGGAGAAGTGCTCTATAAATGTCCACATTGTACTAAGACATTCAATTCAAATGCAAATATGCATTCTCATCGCAAAAAAGTGCATCCAAAAGAATTTGAAGAGACTCGGAAACAACGTAAGCAAAATAAGCAATCTATTGATTAACAGCGGTGTTCTCAATTTCAATAGTGTTGTGAGGAAGCAATTAATTATTGATGGATTCAATAAATTTCAGGTATTTTTCAATTTTTTATGTTTACATTAACTACCCAGCAAACAAATTGTGGAAAAAGATGTAGTATTTTCATCAAAACTAGCAACCCGAAGTGCTTCAAATTCGGGTGAAAAACCTATGAATTTTACAACTAGCATGTCATTGGAGGGATGTTGTTCATTTTTGGCAACTTCAGAAGCAGTAAAAATCCAATATTTGGATGTCAAAAATAAACCACATTCTTTCAATGACACGCTCATGTAAATTTCATTGCGTTTTCACCACATTTTGATGTACTTCAAATATGTTATTTGTACACTGAAAATAATCCATGATTAACTTTACGAAACAAAATTTCGTAACTACTTTTTTCGTAATATATACGAAAATTTCGTGTATAATACGAAATATTCGCAGCAAAAAAAGTGTGGAAAAATATGTAGTATTTTCATCACAACTAGTAACCCGAAGTAATTCAAATTGATTTATTTTGATTTATTTTAAACTAATCTTGATGGAAATAATATTTTGAAAATTGTTATCCAATTTGAAAACTAAAAGTCATCTGGTGGGCTAGCCATTATTTTTTAAAACTTCAGATAGACAATTTGACATATTAGAGATAATATTTTCAAATTATCCCGTTCTTCTTGCAATCTTTTTTTGGGGCTCGTTTTTAGAAGAAATTGGACTTGTACGACTTTGCCAATCTAAATGCTTCCATAAATTTTCTATGGATTTCAAATTGGAAGATTGGGCTAGTGTTTCAATCACTTTTGGACAATTATAAAGCAACCATTCAAGGACAAGATGCCTGATGTTTGGAGTCATTAAGTTGGTATAATTTAAATGTTCATTCAATTTCTATTTTTTCTGCTGATTGCTTTAAATTATCCCTCAAAATAGTTAAATACAAATCTTTGTTCATGTTAATGGCGATAAAAGCTAGGTTTCCGATTCCATTTGATAATATAGAGCCCCAAACCATCACATGTCATTCTCTGAGTTTTACTATGGGAGTAACGTTTTTTCCATTAAGCTCTTCATTTGGTTTCGGGCACACCATTGTTCTTCCGACACTTCAAATATATTAAATACGCTCTTATCAAAGAAATATAACGTCGTCCCACGTTTTGAGACGTTCATTCACAAATTTTATTCGGTACGTTCCATCCTTCCCAGCAAAAAAAGTGTGGAAAAAGATGTATTTTCATCACAACAAGTAACCCAAAGTTCTTCAAAATCGGGTGAAAAACCTATGAATTTTACATTAACGTGTCATTGGAGGGATGTTGTTCATTTTTGACAACTTTGAGCTACATCTATTCTTATTTTTAGAAGCAGTAAAAGTCCGATATTTCAGTGTCAAAAATAAACCACATTCTTTCAATGACTCGCTTATGTAAATTTTTTATTGGTTTTTCATCAAAATTTGTAGTGACTTTTCTAAATCTCTTTCCTCACTTTTAACTGTGTTTTCATTTGTAAGGATATGTTTGATTTATAAAAGCAAAAAATATGTAATCGCATTTTTAGATGTGATTAAGATGTTTGTAAAGTATGAAATCAATTATTTTTTGCTGGGTTATTATTTACTATCGGCTTCTTTCTAGATGAATTGTTGTTTCTGAAACAGTCTTTATTAATTACTCTTTCACTTCAGAAACAATTTTAGATGCACAATTTTAGATGCACTTAACGCGGATTTGTTTTGTTTTTTCTAAGTTTTAGACGCTTTAATATTTCACCAATATTTTTATGTGTTTTTTCATTTTTATAATGCAAAAATACAATAAAATTATTTTCTAGAGATGATTTTTTTTTCCTTACGACCGATTGTTTTTTATTAAAAAAGAAAAATGATGGTAGAAACATAGTAGTACGTACTATATGGTTTCTACAATGATGCCACGTGATACACGAGCTCAATTGAACATCATAATATAAATTCTTATATTATTCACACAATTTTTGAAATGGTTGCAGCGATTAATATTTTCATAGAAGATAAAACCGAATATTAATGAAGCGTACATTTATGTAACATTCCATGTTTTTAAATTTTTTTATTCTATTTAAACGATGTATATAAAAAATTTTGGTATGTATAAAAAGCTCTTAATATGTACAACAATAAGTACAAAATATTTTATTAAATACCTTAACTTTTATTTAAAAGTTATGAACAGAAAAAACGGAAATGTAAAAACCGAATATTAATGACAGTCACTGTATACGAAAAAAGGTATTACGTCAGGTTTTCGTACTTTATTAAAATTAGAAAAGGGGTTGATTAAATAATATTTCGTTTAATACACGAAATTTTCGTATATATGTATCACGAAAAAAGTTAAGCATGGATTATTTTCAATGTATGTTTTCGCTTAACTCAAAATTTTTTGAGAATCATCATAAATGTAACATGTAAAATAATTAACATGTGAATTGCTGGGCAAAGTAATTAATTTCTTGATATCCAATAAGTTTTATTAACGCGACCTCAAAATCCTCTGTTTTTTAAAACCACTATTGTAGTTTTCGCTTGACTCAAAAGTTTTTGAGAATCATCATAAATGTAACATGTAAAATTGTGTCCCAATTGGAATATGTAATTGAAAAAGTCACAGCTCATGAACTGTCTACCCCAGCATTGCCACTGACCAAACTTTAATCCTACAAAATTTCCAGTTTTTTGAAATCATATAATTTTTTTTTGAGAAAAGAAAAGTATGACTTTGTATGTATCTATAATATAATTTTCCTACCCTATAAAGTATATATATTTCGAGTCCTTATAGATAGCGGAGTCGATTAAGCTATTTTCTGTCTGTCTGTATGTTTGTTGAAATCAATTTTCTGAATTTTCTATAATATTGAACCTAGAAACATGAAATTTAGCATGTAGAGCCCGGATTAGGTAAGAACCTATAAAAGGCAACTTTTTGGTACTTTTTCGTTCTACAAAAAGTTCTTTTTGAAATTTCTATAATACTGAACCTAGAAACATGAAATTTATCATGTAGAACCCGGATTTGGTGAGAACTTATAAAAGGAAACTTTTTGGTACTTTTTCGTTCTAAAAAAAGGTACTTTTTGAATTTTCTTAATATTGAAACTAGAAATATGAAATTTAGCATGTAGGGCCCGAGTTACAAAAAGTTCTTTTTGATTTTTCTATAATACTGAACCTAGAAACATGAAATTTATCATGTAGAACTTATAAAAGGCGACTTTTTGGTACTTTTTCGTTCTAAAAAAGGTACTTTTTGAATTACCTTAATATTGAAACTAGGGTTAGGCGAGAACTTATAAAAGGGGACTTTTTGGTACTTTTTCGTTCTAAAAAAAATACTTTTTGATTTTTCTGTAATATTGAACCTAGAAACATGAAATTTAGCATGTAGGATTAGGTGAGAACTTATAAAAGGGGAGTTTTTGGTAGTTTTTGAACCTAGAAACGTGAAATTTAGCATTAGGTGAGAACCTATAAAAGGGAAGAATCCGGATTAGGTTAAAACTTCTAAAAGAGGACTTTTTGGTACTTTTGCGTTCTACAAAAGGTACTTTTTGCATTTTTCTATGATATAGAGTCTTGATTAAGTGAGAACTTATAAAAAGGGACTTTTTCATTCTTCAAGGGTACTTTTTGAATTTTCTACAATACTATCTAAACCCACTAACTATAATAGTTTTTAGATATAAATTTTTATACATATTGGGGATGCCACGCAAATTATTGCAAGTTCGCCAATTTATCCAAATGTTAATTTAGATTTTAATGTAACCTATGAAAAATTTGGGAGATGCCAAGGTCCCACTGAAAGTCCGCCCATTTTTATCTAAATGTTCGTATGAATGTCACATTTTTTCATGTAAAAATTTCTAGCTCAAATAGTTTCTCAGATATACGAATTTTTATATTTAATTCATATGGGAGGTTCCAATTTGCTAGTCCGTCAATTTATTACCCAAATGTTGACATTAATGTCAAAGGATTTTTGATCTAATAGTTTCCCAGACATACGATTTTTTCTATTTAATTCATATGGGAGGTTCCAACCACCCCTAATGAAAGTCGGCCCATTTTCCCCAAATTGTTGAAATAAATGTTAAATTTCTTCGTGCAAAATTTGAAGGTTTTAGGTCTATTAGTTTCCCAGACAAACGACAACTCCAATTTATTACCCAAATGTTCACATGGATGTCAAAGTTGTTATTGCAAAATTTGAGGATTTTAGCTCTAATAGTTTCTCAGATATACGAAATTTTCTATTTAATTCATATGGGGGGTTCCAAGCCCCCCTAATGAAAGTCCGCACGTTATCCCCAAAATGTTTAGATAAATATTAAAGTTCTTCGTGCTAAATTTTATGAAGCTAGCTCTATTAGTTTCCCAGGTAAACGAATTTTTGTATATTTTATTCATATGGTAGGAGCAACGCCCCCTCCCATAAAGTTCTTCGTGCAAGATTTTAACGCTAATAGTTTCCCAGATAAGCGAGTTTTTGTATTTAATTCATATGGGTGGTGCCACGCCCCCTACTTCTAGTCCGACCCCTTTTTCCTTAAATAATCATATTGACACTACTATATATACTTATTTTATATTTTCTTCATAAGGAAGGTGCCACGCCCACTACAGCCATTCCGCCCATTTTATCCGAAAATAATCTTATGGATGTCAAAGTTGTCCATACAAAATTTGAAGACTCTAACTGTTGTACTTTCTAAAATATGCGATTTTTAATACTAAGTTTGTATGTGGGCGTGGCATTTAAATTTCGAAATAAAAAGTAGCCTATAGTTCCTTCCAGACATACAGGAAGACACTGTGAACATACATACATACATACATACATACATACATACATACATACATACATACATACATACATACATACATACATACATACATACATACATACATACATACATACATACATACATACATACATACATACATACATACATACATACATACATACATAACATACATACATACATACATACATACATACATACATACATACATACATACATACATACATACATACATACATACATACATACATACATACATACATACATACATACATACATACATACATACATACATACATACATACATGTTAAGCATTAAGCATGTAGAGCCCGGAGTAAGTAAATGTGGACTTTTTGATACTTTTGAGTTAATACAAATCTGGAGGAAACGATTTTTTCTACTTCTTTGTTCTATGACAGTCTTTGGTTTTTATGCACATACGCAACACACTGTTTAATCAAAAATCTATAAAAGGGGACTTTCTGGTACTTTTTCGTATTTTTTGATTTTTTTTAAAATAAATTTTGTACTGACTATTTTTTTAACACATCATGGTGAAGGGTATATAAGATTCGTCACAGCCGAATATAGATCTCTTACTTGTTTAATGTGCGTTAGATACGCGAATGCGAATGGTATAATTCAAGTTAATTTGAAAAGAAAATTAAAATTATGATATTACATATTTTGATGAAATATCGGGTTTTTATAATTCGATTCAATTTAAAAAGAAAGCTAAAAATTATGATATTACATATTTTGATGAAAAATCGAGTTGTAACATTTTTATTTCATAATACCTTACTAATACAAATATAGCTCAGGGGCTTTTAATTTTTATTCGCTAAAAGTGTTTACATTTAAATTTTTATTAGTTCTTTAAGAAATAATATTCTCTAAAATTTAGGGAAATTCTTGGAAAATCATTAATCATTCATACAATGGTTATACAGCAATTGTGAAGAAATTTTGATTTAACTATCATCAATATCCACTAACTGTCAATAAAATGCCCTCAAAATAACACAAATATGTATGTTCCTATAAAATACTATTATTTACCTACATACATATGTAATAGATATACATATTATGTATATTATGTAATCGTATTGATACTTTACTTTTATTTAATTTAATTTATTACTTTTATTTAAATCATAATTTTAAGTATGAAAAAAATCATTTTTATGTAAACTATTCATAAGTAGAAATTTATAACCGATTATGGCCTATATAGGCTAGGTTATTGAAATAAAGAATTTGAAATTGAAAAAAAAAAAAAAAAAATACTACATATTTTTCCACATTTTTTTTTGCTGGGTTATATTACACCACACAGTGGGGCAGAATGAACATTTTTGGAAATAAATCTTTGACATTTCTAAATGGCTAGTCTGATCGGTATAAAATTTGACACGGGCGTAGCCAAGGAGTATTCGAGTTTAAACGGATCCCATAAATGCTCCAGGGGGCTCAAAGTAGAGTACCTTCGACATGAAAAATTTTAAAATGCGTGCCATTTTTATATATTTATGAAAAGCGCTCAGCTAGGTATTAAAAAACATGCTTGTATATGCTATTTACTTCTTACAATTTCTGATTTATAGGCATTTGAAAATTAAAATTTAAAAATTTTGCTATACCTTGGTCCACACTTTTCAAAATGTAAAACGTAATTTTGAACCAAATAAATTTTTTTGTGTTAGACAACTAAATTTCCAAAAACATACCAAAATTCAGGGCCCAAACTACGACATACGATATCGATCGAAATCTCAATAGAATCTAAATGGAGATTTCGATCGATATTGTATGCCATAATTTGCGCCCAGGGCAATAGCATTTATGGATCTAAAAATAAACGATTTTCAATTTGAATCCAAATGTAACCCTTACTAATTATTTTAGTTTAGCTAAGTTAATTTTTGATCTTTGATATTTCAAGTCAATAGCTCAATTAGATTCAAAAATATACCCATTTAAGCCTAAGTCCTTTTAAAGATATTTCTTAATATAAATTTTTTAGCGAAAATCACTTTTATTTCACGTAGTTCAATTTCTATGTCATCATAAAAACGGGTCCTCATTTTATATATTTATGCATTTTTCCCATTATCTGGAATTTTATTTTCTGAAAAGTTTTTGTATAAAATGCATAACAAACATGAAGGAATTAAGGCAAATTTTCAAAAATATACACAGGTAGCGCTTATCTATGCCCATAAGACACATGGAGGTTTTCTTAAAATTTTAAAATGTGCTTAACAAAATTGTTAAAAGTTTGAAACTGCCGTATGTATATACATATATACACTCCTCCATGAATAGCACATATATCAATTTTTTTCAAAGCTTATATTTTTGGATCGGGAATTTCTGGAAACTTCTTTTTCCCCTCATTGTAATATTTTTTGTTCTGAATAAAATGTGATACGAATGGTTGTCATATCTGTAATAGTTGATTTTATATAATTTTTTTGTAAATTAACTGAAAAAAGCTACTGTTAAAAATTCGCCACTTGAATAGAACATCCCCCAGAAAAAGTGATTTTATAGCAACTTTTGTAATTAAAACTTATTGACCAAATTCCTCGTTAATAGCCGTACTCTGAAAATCATCCATATGTCCATATTAATATCCATACATGGTAGTACAATTTGCCATATATCGAATAAATAAGTAAATTCTGGTAGTATCGATTCTTTAAACGAGTCCATATATAGGTCCGCCTTCCGAAATCGACAAACTTACAGCCATTTAGTTAACAAACTCACACCATTGGTTAAATGGTAATAATATAAATGCAATATATGTAATTAGTAATTAAAATGAACTAAATACATAAAATGTTATAGAAAATTATAAATTTTAGCACATAAATTGAAATGGCTAGTGATAATTACATGAATTTATAACAATTGTACTCCTATATTTGGCATTTCATTCATAAATTTAATAAATATTTCTGTAAATTTAATATGTTTAAAAAGAAAATTTAGACGTAACTGACATCCTGCTGTTACAAAAATTCGAAATAATTTCACCGAAATAGTTTTTTCCGCCTTTAAAAATTCTATCTATCTACATAGTTTGTATTTTATTTTAGTTTTTCGTGTATCCTTAACAATTTTTCTAACTACATAACTACATATTTGTTGAAAAAGAGTTAAAGAGAATAGTTTTGCAAAGAAATCCCGATTCCCGGAATAATAGAACCATATCTTAAACCATAGTGTATTAATTAACTGTCTACAGAAATTGTTAAGCACACATCTGCAACAATCAGTAGAAATTGGAACTGATTAGTATACTTTACGGTGAGTGTAGGGAAAATATTTATATTAATTACAAATATCAGCAAGCATTAATTATACAATCCTCACTATAGTTTAGGAAATAAAAAACATTCCTATAGAAATGTGTCAGGCTTGTACATAACATAAAAATCGTGTCCCTTAACCTCATTTTATTTAATTTTAATTGCCTTTTTATGTATATCTAACTATAAATATCTTAAAAACAAGCAGGGAAGTATAGACGGGCATATTATACCCACACCATGAGTATATTTTACAAATAATTTTTTTTTTTTATACAGAAATTTTTTTGTTGGCTTGGTGAAATAATGGACAGATTTCAACCATTTTCAATAGGCTTTGTCCCTGTGCCGAAAAAGACGTTTGGTCCATATTTCATCAATATATCTTGAAAATTGCGGCTGTACCTTGCGCACAAGGTTCACATGGACAGGCAGCCGAACGGATGGCTCAGAAAGTGATTCTGAGCCGATCGGTATACTTTAAGGTAGGTGTAGGGCCAATATTTTTGTGCGTTACAAACATCAGCACAAACGCATAATACCTTCCACACTATAGTGGTGTAGGGAATAATAATAATATATTCTTAAGATTCCCAGAATTTCAAAATGAAATAAAAAGAGCTTAAGGGGCACGATTTCTAAGACTTGACATGAAATCCCAAATATGTTTTTATTTGCGCCGATTTGAAATCGTCTAAACTTAATTATTTACGAACTACTAAATTGTATTTAAACAGTCTATGATAATATGCAGTGTACTTTAAAATGACGACAGTACTTGTTGTGCAACCAACATCTAAAACAATCACATGACATTTTTTGTACAAAGCTGTCAAACTTTGCCTGTGTTCTTGTTATAGATTAACAATCTGTCAAAATTTACCTGTTGTTTTTGTTACTTTTATGATTAAAAAAAACAATCAGCTGTACTTATGAGTCCAATGTATTAAGACACTTTGGTAGCAACGTTACCGTTGTGCGACTAAAGTCTAGTATTTTGACTCGATAGCGGCCATAAATTGGACAAGAAGGACGAAAATTTCAAAATGTTTTCAAATTGTAGGCAAGGATATATAAATGAGTTGGCATTGAAGAAATAAGAAAAAATGTTAAATAACTGAAAATATGTTCATAAATGCATCAGCAAACTTTTAAGTACAACAAAATAATATTGGTATTATTGTTTTACATGCTCTTTTTAAATTTAAACGAAAAACAGTCATTAATAAAACATAAATGAAAAGTAACAAGTGAGAGTCCTATATTCGACTGTGCCGAATCTCATATACCCACCATCAAACTGGATGCCGTAAAAGGAATGCGGCATATAATATCAGGGTGATATTGGGAATATGGCTTAAGTCTATTATGTAGCGAGCTCTTTTGAACTAACAAAATATTAACTTTTACAAAATATTTTTGTTCAGTAATTTTCTGAAGGGGGCCTTATATGCCCCAATTATGAACCGATACTCATAAAATTTTGTACATAGATTTTGTTTTGTATAAACTTCTCGTAATTTTCTGAATAGTCATCAAATTTTCTGATGATTTCCTACGAACATATTGTAGACCGATTTTGGTAAAATTGTTTACATTGAATATCATCGCTGTACTCTCATTTTTATACCAGCTATTATCGTTAAAATAATTTTCTGAAGGGGGCTTATATTGGGGGTAGGGTAATTTACCGACACATCCCGCATGAAGAATGTGCAAGATTAACGTTCGTATAAAAGTTTCTTATGTCGAATTTCATAACTCGTATTTTTAAGCCAGCAATGAATGTTTAAGAAATTTTTTTATGGACCAATTCTCGAATTTAATCGCTTTACTCATATTTTTAAGCCAGTAATGAGCGTTAAAGTCATTTTCTGAAGGGGACCTTATATGGGGTGTAGGGGACCTTATATGGGCCGATCCTCAAACAAATTGGTAGAGAGATTTTGGGTCGCATAAAACTTATGTGTGTCGCATTTCATCGCTATATTCGTCTTAGCCCCGTTAACTCCACCTCCGGTTATCATTTAACCTATTCTGCGGTTAATATATTTATACCCTACACCACTTTAGTGGGGAGGGTATATTGGATTTGTGCTGATGTTTGTAACATATAAAAATATTCGTCCTAGACCCACCTTAAAGTATACCAATCGGCTTAGAATCGTTTTCTGAGTCGATTAAGCTATGTCCGTCCGTCCGTCCGTCTGGCTGGCTGGCTGGCTGGCTGGCTGTCCATGTAAACCTTGTGCGCAAGCTACAGGTCGCAATTTTCAAGATAATTGGATGAAATTTGGCACGCACGTTTTATTTGACCCAAGGACGAAGCCTATTGAAAATGGTTAAAATCGGTCCATTATTTCACCTAGCCCCCATAGACCAGAACCCCCCGAAAAGGGCTTCTGAGCTCATAATTATGTTAAATATACAGATATATCGATAAAATACGGCATAACTAAGTTTTATAGAAGTCTTGATAACCCTGCCAAATTTCATAAAGATCGGGCCCCATTTGACCCTAGCTCCCATACAAAGTCCCCTTCAGAAAATTACTTGAATGTCCCAAATTAACTTATAAACACAAATATCGCGATGAAATTCAGCACAATAAAATATTATGTAAATATAAATAT